CGACCCCGGCCCCCACCCACCCACCCAGCCCAGCAGACAGGCAGGCAGGCAGGGCTGACCCCAGGCCTTGGGACTTTGGTGTGCAGCTAAAGGCACTTGAAGCTGCCTCCGGGGTTTGGGGATCCCCAGAGGTCACGGTGATGGCACGGTGTGGGGGGCGGGGGGGCCCAGGCACGAGAACACCAGGGGGAGACCCTGGCAGGCAAGGGGCAGGGCCGCGTGCTGGACCGCAGCTCCCTGGCCGTCAGTAGTCAACGCGTGGCAAGAAGCTGCAGCGCACGGAGGGCCGGCCCGCGGGCAGGGTCAGTAGTGCTCCAGCTTCAGGCTCTTGTACAGGCAGCACGTGAAGATCATGCCGAACACCTGAGCATGGGGCCAGCATGAGCGGACGTGGCCGCCAGCACCTCGCGTCCCAGCACCCGCCGGCCCGCCCTGTCGTGCCCGCACCTGCACGCAGGCAATGCCGAGGCCCACGGCCCCGATGATCCTCAGGTGCTCCTGGATGAAGGTCTCCAGCTTGGTGATGCAGCCGCCCTGCGGGAGCAGGCCAGGAGCGCGCACTGAAGGCAGCAAGTCGTCGGGCCCCCTCGGGTGTCGGGCCACACCAGCCCCCAGCATCCCGGGCATCCCGGGACTCCCCAGGCCCAGGCACGACAGAGCAGAGCCACTGCCCTCAGGGCCCTGGGCGTCTCAGCAGGCCCCCGCCGGCCTACCTCCACCTTGTAGATGTTGGAGGCGTGGTCGCGCTGCCCGCAGCCGGCCACCACGGTCTTGCAGCAGCTGTCAGGGACCACGCGGCCGCCTGCCTCGCCCGAGCGGATCCACTCGCTGTCCCGCCAGTCCTGCGAGTTGTTGCTGCCACAGCAGTGGAACTGCAGCGAGGACACGGCCCAGGCTGAGCCCTGACCGCCCACCCCTGCGGCTGGGGCTCCCGCACGGGTCTGGGGAGGTGCCTCCCTGCGCCACCCACCCACCTCCTGCTGCAGCTTGTCCACAGCGCTGGTCACGCCCTCATGGCCCAGTTGATGGTACCGCTTGGTCATGGTGTCCTTCAGGTTCTCCTTGAGCTCTGCGTTCAGCTGGCGTGAGAGGGTGACAGTTTCAACCACAAAATCTAAGACTCTCCAAGGTGGGGCAGAATGGCAGTGGGCACAGACGGGAGAGAGGCGCAGGGTCAGGGCTGGGGTCAGACACATGGCTCAGATGGCCACGGGGAGGGCCGCGGGCAGGGAGGGCGCTCCAGATCCCGTGGACACCTGCCTCCCCCGCCAGGGCCCCCAAGCAGGCAGCTTGGGTGCTGCGGGCAGGCTGTCCATCCCCGTGATCCACCCTGCCCCTAGGACCCAGTCCCCACCTCCTGGGCCTGATGCCACAATGATCAGCGCTGGAGCCCGTGGGGTCCTGTGTGCATGTGTGTGCCCTGCCTGTGTATGTGTGTGTCCCCACGTGTATGTACACGTCGCCTGCGTGTGCGCATCCATCTCGCTGCATGTGCGTGTCCCCGTGTGTGCCCGTGCACGTCCACGTCGCCACGGCCCGTCTGAGCCCCTCACCTGCTGGTAGTAGACGTAGGCCAGGGCTCCCGCGATGATCTCCAGCAGGAAGATGACGAGGAGCAGGGCAAAGTACTGGGGGCGGTGCAGGGGCCCCGTGAGGTGTGGCGGGACACGGACACCCCCAGCCCGTGAGGACTCCCCGGGCCCAGGCACGACAGAGCACAGCCACTGCCCTCAGCTCCCAAGTGGCCATGCGGTGAGGGCTCCAGGCAGCAGGCGAGCGCTGGGGGGCCGCCAGGACCCCCAGTGCTCACTCCCAGGTGTCTTCCCTCTGTTGGCCCAGCTGGGATGTGGGCACTCACAGGACTGGGCAGGTGGGAAGGGACGACCCCCCAGGTGAGCACAGCAGAGTCGATCCTGCAGTGTCACACTCGACCCCCATCAGTCCCTTCTAACTCCCTCAGGGACCCAGAGCCAGCTCCCGGCAGCCTGGCAGGGAGCCCTGGCAGGTACCCACAGCCCCACCCCCACCCCCAGTGCCAGCCACACCCTGCTGACCAGACGCAGCAGGTCCCTCCGCTCCTTGAAGGTGGCGCAGCAGCCCAGAACCCCGGTCACCATGACGACAACGCCCGCCACCACCAGGATGTAGGCTGTGGCCAGGTAGGTGCCTGAGGCCAGCAGGCTGATGTAGTCGCTCTTGAGGGCCAGTGTCCAGATGCCCACGGCCATGACGGCCAGACCAGCCAGCTGTGGGCAGTGCACACCGGTCACCACACCTGGCCCCAGGTCTGAGCCCCAGGCCAGGCTCCTTTCGAGGCTGGGGACGGGGGTGCCTCACCCAGAAGCAGCAGTTGAAGGTAAAGAGCAAGTACTTGAGGCAGATGGTGCCACATGTCGTCGTCTTCTCGCCGAACTCGCCCATCCTGCGGCAGCGAGGCGGGGGAGGGCCTGCCTGGGAGGATGGCCAGACACCAGTGGGGACAGAAGGAGGGGACACAGATGTCCAGACCAGCCCCAGGTTGGGGCCAAGCCAACTTGCCTGCCCGGGTGAAGGCTCTGGGAGAATGTCCATGGCAACCAGGATGCTTCCTGCGAAGGCCGCTCAGGAGCCTCCACCCCCACTGCAGCGAGGGCAGGTGGGGTGCCCACAGCCTAGCTGAAGGCCGGGGGGCCAGGCTTCCCTGACCAGAGCCCAGGGCACGGTGAGGGGGGGCCTGGAGGACCCCCAACCATCACGGGCTGACTCACCCCTCTGGCAGCCAGGGTAGGAAGCCCCAGCAGGCACCTCGGGGTGAGCTCACGCAGGCTCCCCACCCCGTCCCAAGCATTCTCCGGGCCCCACGTCACAGGTTGGCAGGAACCCACCGGCTGCTGGCAGGGAGGAGGCCGCTCCAAGACAGACCGACCTGCCCCTCGCCAGCCTAGTCCCACAGCCTTAGGAAAGCCCCTCAGGGCTCTGTGAAAGGACAGGCCTTCCTTCCTCCCAGCGGGGGCAAGTGGAGCTGGCAGACACACACCCGCCCAGACCTGGGGGGTTCTTCCTGTGCTGGTCCTCATTGTTGGAATGGGGACAGCCACACCGACCCCAGGGAGAAGTGAAGCTACTGGCTGTGCTCCTCCCCAGAGGCACCCCACCCACTCTGTTCTGGGGTGTCCGCACTGGGCGGGGAGTGGCTGTGGGACACAGATGGCAGCTGAGCGCCCGGGGCCATGTTTCCAGACAGACACAGTGCCGCCCAGAGCCAAATTTATATCCACCCCGCCCAGCACTCGCCTGGCTGGTGGGGATGTCTCTCTCTCGGCTGTAAGGCAGGCGGACGGAAGTTCCCGCCCCAGGAGCTTCCGCTAGAAGGGCAGGGACAGGTCACAGGTCTGGCTCAACCTGGATGGTCAGGATCCCGCCACCCCTCTTTCTGGCTGACCCAGGCACTGGACCCGAGCTGGCCTTCCAGAGCAGGCAGCGTCCACCCCCTGCCCGTGGCTGAGAGGGGAGCGGCCAGGCCCAGTATTTTGGTCTGGGCCAGGGCGGGGCAGGGCAGAGGACATTTCTGGACAGTCCGATCCTGGGAGGGACCGCACGCCTTCCCCAGGCCCCCACTCTGAGCCTTGGCACCAGGCCTGTCACTGCCCCTTCCCCCATCAAGCAGCAGGAGCTGCAGCCTGGAAAGAAAGAGGCGCAGACACTAGCACAGCCGGGGTGTGGAAGCCCCACGTGCCGCAGACCTGGGCCTGCCCTGGGGGCCCGGGGAGGCTGCTTCCAGACACAGATCCGGCCCCCACGGCCCGCCCGCGGGCGACCGGCTGAGGAGGGGCCCCTCTTTCCGGGAGTGCCTGGCGGAGATGATCCCCAAGGGAAAGGGCCGGCCAGAAATAGCTCCCGCGGCCCGGGACAGAGCCGCCCCACCCCCGTCCCCCGCAGCCCAAGCGGCCCTTCGGCGCCCCGCCCCGCAAGGTGGGGGACCCCGACTCGGCTCCAGCCAGGCCGCGTGAGGAACTCGCGATGAAGTCGCCGCCGCCGCCTCCCCCACGCGCGGGCGAGGCGAACGGCCCGCCCCCTCGCACCGGGCGGAGGAGAGAGCACCGGTGCCCGCGCGCAGTGAGCGGGGCGCTCGGGAGGAGCCCCTGGCCGGAAGGGGCCGCCAGGCCCGTCCGGAGCCCCGGGAGGCGCGTCGCCCTCGCAGCCCGGCGGACCCTCTGCCCGCCCGGCCCCCGGGCGCCCGTCGCCCTCCGGAAGCGGCCTGCAGGGCCGCCAGGCGCGCGGCTTCTCCCGGCCGCCCGGGCCGGGCGGTGCACTCACCGGCCACGCGTCCGAGTCGGGCTGGCGGCGGCGGCTCGGAGCGCGGAGAACGCGCGGCCGACCGGGGGCTTGCGAGTGCGACGCGCCGGGCCGCTCAGGTCCCCGCCCCGGGCCCGGAGGCCCCGCCCACGGCCGCGACGCGGGGCAGGTCCGAACAGCGCTCGGCGCGAGCGGGCGGAACACCAGCGGGGGCGGGCCCCGGGGGTCCGCCCGAGGCGGCGGGGG